ATTGGTTTGGAAATTAATATCAACATTCGTCATTCATTACAGCAACATTTGTCATGACTGGTGTTGAAGATGCTTCCACTTCTGAGCCTACTAACGTAGCCAGCCTACCAGCGAGTGAGATCGATGCTCGAATCGGAGGTATCTATCCGTAATTCTACTTCATCAGTCTTCTAGTCGAGTTTGAGGATTGAATCATCAAAATTTTTGCAGATCCTTCATTAAAAAGTCCAGAAGATGCTCAAAAAGAAAATGAGCTCACTGAGGCACAGCTGAGCCAAATCGAAGAAGAGGTTAGTGACCTACCTTCGATTATTTTCAGTTTCCTTAACGTTTGATTTTTGTTTTTCTACGGATATGCCTACAAAACTTGTCCGACTCGTTACAATTTAAGCAGAAACAAACGCCGTTGGTCGGAGATCGAGTGCCTTTTGAAGTCGTCGTGATGGAGTATGACCCTACGGAAAGTGCCGAGTTTTACCACAAAGCCAAGGTTAGATCTGTTTATTGCAATGTCATAGGAGTGTTTACTTTACTAGAACATCTTTTAGGACTTGCTTGCTACATATTCCGATGTGCGCATCATCCGTCGAGACGGCAATTGCTTCTATCGGGCCGTACTCGTCGCGCAAGTCGAGCTGATGTTGAGTGACCCTGCTGAATGCACAAGGTGACTTCATCATTCTGTAATTTGATTAGTGGTTCCATTTCTGTTCATTTCGTTTCGATCTTTTGAGCGAATAGCATGAGTTTCCGTTTCCCACTCTATCAGCATACCTTTCGGAGCTAATGTACATTTGCCCTGATCAGTCATTTCGTGTAATGGCCTTCTCGCAGTGGAACAAAGCAATGGGGAAAGAGTTTTTTCTTTTTGAAATGACAGAAAACGACGCAGAAGACGTTGGAAAGACTGTAAAAGAGGAGGACCTCATTCCTTGATGATATTGAGTTTCTGGGGTCGTATGAAGGTAGCAACCACACAAACGACTGTATAAAGTGCACTGCCTGTTTCCGAAAGTCGTGTTTCCAGTTTCACAGTAGCGCAGCTTCGTTATCC